TAGAAACCACACCCCAACATAGTGTACCATCAAGAACTGTAATGAGATAACTAAAGGAACAAAAGAGATGGAACACACACATATATGTTTGTCAGTGTGTGTGGAAAAATCTAGGTTAGCCACCGACCTAACGCCATGATATAACATCTCAAACGTTTCTTATGTTAGGGATTTATGTTAAACATTGTTTTTCACACACGTTGCTAGTCACATAGGCAAACTCCATGAAAAACATGGAAAAACAAACCTAGCTCATAACCTCGGTGAACTCGAGGAAAATATCTTAAAAAACTTAAAAATAGTTTCCCTACGAGAGTAAAATTGGTTTATCGGTTACTCTAAAAGGCTGTGGTTGGAAGTAATGAAAAAAGATATAAAGACTTATAGCCTCACCGAAAGTATGGCCCTTAATAGAGTATAATGTTTGACTATGATTCATGTAGCCAGACCCCAAATAGTTAAGAAAAGGCCATGATAATGATGATGATGATATGCTATTCCTAAATGGGTGTGGTTTGTATAGAGTCGATGCTCTAAACAATCGAAATAAGACCCACCTTCAAATAGTGTTGAGAAATGCATTTTTAATGCTGTAAATCTTTGTGATGGCTTTAAAATATATTTTTATCTTTAATTATAAAATTTTAAACTTAAAAAATAATGTAGATCGAGCAAATCTGTCAAAACTTTAAACTTGGCGGTCAAAAAATGTGTTACAAGAAACACTATTTTTAAAACTTGAAATCCATTTTTTTTCACATGTCCATACATCTTAATGTCGAGATGATCAATTTTAAGATATTTGGGCATCAAAACAACATATTGTAGTGAAATTTTTGAGGTGGGTTCTAATTTAATTGTTTAGAGCCTCAACTCTATATAAACTCTTTCCTTCTTAAATATGCTGGCAAATATTTATTTAAGTTGTTTATCTAGTAGGCTTAAGACCATCCATGAATCTAGAGGTCAATTAAAGGCTGTATGGTCTGGTCTTTAGGGTGACCTGCCTCACAACGCCCAAAAAATAAACTAAATATTCTCTTTATATATAAGGGTGCGGTTTGTATAGAGCCTAGGCTCTAAACAATCAAATTAGAGTCTACCTTCAAATGGTATCAATAAATGTGGTTTCAATATTGGAAATCTTTGTGATAGCCTTAAAATATTTTTTTATATTTATTTATAAATTTCAAAGCTTAAAACATTTTTATTTATAAATTTCAAAGCTTAAAACATAGTGTAAATCGACAGATCCATGAAAACTTGAAAATATTAAAAATTGACAAATGTGTTACAAAATACACTATTTTCAAAACTTGAAATCTATTTTTTTTCTCATGTCCATGCTTCTTGATGCCGAGATGATCAATTTGAATATATTTGAACATCAAAACAACATCTTCTAGTGAAAATTTTGAGATAGGCTCAAATTTGATTGTTTAGAGCCTCGGTTATATATAAACTTTTCCCTATATATAAATAGGGGCACGTTTGGTTCGCGTGAAATAGTTTTATTGTAGGAAATTAATTTCTTAGGAAATGGATTTTTTAGATTTAGATTTCACTTTTTTTTTCTCTCATGTTTGGTAATACTATCTAGATTTCTTATGAAAGTGTTTTCTTTCGTTTGGTAAACTGTGGGAATCTACCCGTTTGGAATTTGGAATGTTAGCTATTCTCTCACTCTAAAAATTCAATCTCTCTTGCTCTCTCTAAAAATCCAATTGCTCCTTCCAAAACCCATAATCTCTCTCTATAAAGACTCAATATCTCTTTTTCTATCTAAAAACCAATTATCTCTCTTTAGAAACCCAATCTTTCTTGCCCTTTCTAAAAATATGTTATCTTTCTCTCTCTAAAAACCCATTATATCTCTTTAGAAACTCAATATCTCTCTCATTATCTCTTTCTAAAAACCCATTATCTCTTTCCCTCTCTAAAAACCCGATATATATTTCTCTCTAAAATGCTATTCGCTCTCTAGAAATTCAATATCTATCTAAAAACCTATTATCTCTCTAAAAATCTAATATACATTTATCTCTCTAAAAATCTAATATACATTTATCTCTCTAAAATTCCAATCTCTCTTTCTTTGTCTAAAAACTAATTCCCTATATTTCTCTCTCTAAAAACTCATCCTCTATCTAGAAACCCAATATCTATTTCTTTATCTAAAAACTGATTCTCTCTCTAGAAACCCAATATATATTTCTCTCTCTAGAAAACCGAATCTCTTTATAAAAACCCATTTGCTCTCTAGAAAACCAATCTCTCTCTAAAAACCCGCTCTATCTAGAAACTCAATCTCTATTTCTCTCTCCAAAAACGCATTCTCTCGCTCTAGAATTCCAATATATATTTCTCTCTCTTAAAATATATTATCTTTACAAATCCAATATCTCTCTCTAGAAACCCATATCTCTCTAAAACACATTTTATCTATCTAAAAACCCAATATCTCTTTCCCTTTCTAAAAAACTAATATGTTTTTCTCTCTAAAAAACCAATATCTCTTTATCTCTCTAAAAATTATTACATCTCTCTAAAAATCCATCCCATCGCTCTAGAAATCCAATCTCTCATTATCTCTAAAAAATACCTCTCTCTAGAAACTCAATATCTCTTTCTCTATTTTAAATCCTATTGTATCTTTATCTCTCCAAAATTCATTATCTCTAAAAATCCAACCTATATGTCTCCCTAAAAACACATTATCTCTCTCTAGAAACCCAATATCGATTTCTTTCTCTAACAATCCATCACTGCTCTAGAAATCAATCTCTCTCTAAAAACCCATTATCTCTTTATAAAACCAATCTGTATTGCTATCTTAAAAATCCATTCTCTCTCTAGATACCCAGTATCATTATCTCTCTAAAAACCCATTATCTCTCTAGAAACTCGATATCTCATTATCTATCTAAAAAACATCTCTCTTTAGAAACCCAATCTCTCATTCTCTCTAGAAATCCAAACTCTCATTCTCTCTTGAAATCCAACCTATTTGTTCTCTCGCTAGAAATCAATATATTTATTTATCTACAAACCCAATCTATAGTTTTCTCTCTAGAAATCAATATATTTCTCTATCTAAAAACCCAATATATCATCTCTATCTAAAAACTAATTATCTCTCTCTAGAAACCAATATATATTACTTTCTCTAAAATCCTAATATCATTATCTCTCTAAAAAAACCCAATCTATCTTTCTCTCTCTAGAAACCCAAATTTTAAAAAATTATCTTAACACAATTTTTGGCTTATTACAAACAAGAATAATTTGAAGAATGAAATAAAAAGAATAAAAAGGGGGGACTTCTTAATGGGTCAAGCTAGGCCTAGGCCCAATATATTATTTTCGAGTTGGGTTGGGCTGGGCCAAGCTTTGATGATACATATTCAGGGGAGGGGTAGGATTTTTTGTGAACGTTTCCGACAGAGCCTCAACGGGGCTAGTCAACGTATTTTCGGGCTTTGCAGAGCCTTGGCCCAGCCCGGCCCGGTGGCAGCCCTACTTACCTCCCCCCCCCCAATTATTTTGAAAGAAAATGGATTTATTCCGGCATATGTATGATTTAAATTTTTTAGATTTTGGACAATTTTTATGGAAATTAATTTCATGGGTAAAAGGATTTATTACTCTTGAGATGGACCAAAAGTGAGAAATTAGTTATTTTTTAATAAAATAATTTATAAACAATCATTGTCATACGAACCAAACATGCCCTAGAGAAAAAAAATACCTATTACAGGAACCAATCATGATAATAAAAGAATTTAACTTTGATATAAAGAGGCCACAATTATTATTCATTGGTAACTTGAAATTAGATGATTGAGGGTGATTTATTAACCAATAACAAATAAAAAAATAAATAAAAATTCTCGAACTTTACACCATGCTATTAAATTTGATATTTGTCGGCAACGGGTTATTCTAACCTCATCTTAGTCTTACAGCATACAATCCTAGTAAAAAAACTAAGAAATCAAGTATAAACAAAAAAAAGAAGTAAATATCTCTTATCCAAAGACAGTAAAAAGGTAGGAAAGAAACCTACATAAAAGAAAGTTAAAAATAAAGAAAAAGAAAAAGTAAGTCCGCCGACTTGTACCATATGGGCCGCCATTTAAACTATTTTAGAAATTTTTAATTTAAAATTTTAAAGATTCATTATCTAAGTTAAGATGACCATAACCATAAATAAATAAGTAATAAAATAATATTAAAAATATGAGTTTTTTTGAATTTTGTTTACACTGTGTAAACCTTACAAGTTACAACGTCCATTTTAAGATGGTCTTGGTGAGTCAGCAGGCTCTTGCAGCTTGACTCATGAAATTTAAAAAAAAGACCAAAAAAAAAATCTTAAATTAAAAAAAAAGTTTATATAAGGTTGTAACTTTAAAATGTAGAATCATAAATACACCTCAAAACTTCATAAGAAAAAATTATTTTAATGTTTAAAAACTTTCTAATTGACCATCTCAATATTAAGATGTATGAATATGAAAAAAAAAAAGAGATTTTGAGTCTAAAAGACAGTGTATCTTGCAACACATTATTTAGACAGTTCATTTTTAAAATTTTTAAAATTTTTATAAATTTAATTAATTTTAATTAATTTTAAAATTTTAAAGTTTATAATTAAATATAAAAATAAGTTTTCAAATAATTTGAATGTTTTTTTACATCAAAATCACATGTTAAGATAAATTTGAAGGTGCGCTTTAATTGGATGGTTTAAAGTTGCAACCATATAAAAACCGCACCCTAAATTAAAAAGAGAGAACTACGAATGGGGTTAAATGCCCGCCACAAGCGTCATATTTCTCAAAGATAGGAGTATTATCGTAACCTTTTTAAAAGTTGGAGGGCAGTCTTGTACCTTTTAAAAAAAATCAAATTCACGCACCTGACGAGTGGGCCCTTCTCAGTGAGCATCTACTGAGGCGTTTCCTCACACACCTCACTACCCCAAAACTCTCTCTCTCTCTCTCTCTCTCTTTTCGGCCTCTAACTTAGCGGAGAGCACACTCTCCCCCTATTCTCTCTCTTCTCTCTGCGTAACATTTCTGCAACCTGTTTCCAGCTAGGGTTTCTTCTCCTTGCTCGAATAACCGTGCAGCTCATTTCGCCTATATCCGAAAACACCCATTCCTCTCTGTACATTGATCGCTCCACTGTGGATTGCTTCTTGCTCTCTGCTTTGTTTCTTTAAGACGGTACTCAGTGCCGTGATCTCATTCAAGCTCTCCGAGAAACTGTAAGTGTTTCGCTGCTTTGTTGTTGATTTTAATGGCTAACTGGAAATCATTTGCCTGATTAGAAAAAAGTGGATTTTTTGAGTTCTGTAGCGACTATTTTCATTTATGTGACAGTTATACGGCCGAATGGATCCGCATGCTTATTGAGGCATGTGTTTCTTTCTGGTTCCTTGAAGTTTGATTACTGTGTACAAGTCTGCATTTTTTTGGTTTTGTTTTAGGGGAGAGAGAGAGAGAGAGAGAGTTCTGAACTCTACTCTTTGACTCTAAATGCAGCATGTAGAGTGAGTTCATTCGTCCCTGTTAGTCCTGTTTTTTCTCAGCTTTTGCTTTCCCCCCTTTTCTAGGGCTTAGTGGGAGAGCGGGAGAAATAAAGCTTGCATGCGTTTCCTCTAGAGAGAGAAAACAATGTCGGGGAGACGAGGAGAGCCGCCACAGCGGCGCCTACCACGAACACAAACAGCCGGTAACTTGGGGGAATCTGCTTTTGATAGTGAGGTTGTCCCCTCCTCTCTCGTTTCAATTGCACCAATTCTTCGTGTTGCCAATGAGCTTGAGGCCAAGCACCCTCGTGTCGCTTATCTATGTAAGATTTATCTGCATTTTCTGCATTATCACATTTCTTCATCTATTTGATAAAATTATCATATTGGATTTGTTTATCATTTCTATTCCTTTCGGAGTATCTGTGTAGTTTTGTGAGTACCAAAAATTAATTTTGTTGAGCACGCTCGTGCAAAGAAAAACAGTAGTAACTAGGCACAATATTTGATCCTATTGAAGAAATTGGGCATATTACACATGAATGAATGTGTGAAGCCCTTGAACTAATTAATTCCATGCATTGGAAGATAATTCGGCAGTATGCTCCAGGTGGGTGCATCAAGGTACCCACCTAGGCGGCATTAAAGGCGGACGCCTAGGCACCGCTTTGAACAATCGAGACCAAGGGTGGAAAATGCCCGTAGGCCATTGGGTAGTTCCATCATTCCCCCCTCTAAAAAGGGGGTAAAAGAGTTTTGGGGGCCATCTTTGCCCCTCAAAACTTTTTTAGTGAGGTTTAGGGTGAGAAAAACCTTAAAAAAACCAAGATTTTAAGATCTGTAGAGGGATCAAAATTTTTTCAACCTCCTCAAATGCTCACGTAATTGAAGGATATTCATCCCCAATCTTTTTGAGGCTTAGAGGGATTACAGAAGAGGAGATCTGGGAACCAAAACTTTCCGGTTTGGGAGGTCCAATGATCCGCAAGGATCTGCCCCTTCCCCATTGAAGGCCGCCTTGGTGTCTGGGCGCCCGCTCAGGTGCCTAGGTGGCCGCATCCACCTTCTTGAACATTGATTGCACATGAATGCCTGGATTCCATAGAATACTAGGAACAATAACTTCTATGACCCCTATTAAACAGGAATGTACTATTTATGGGTCCATAGACCTTACATAGGAACTGGAGACCACGATTGCTTGTATAAGTATATATTGAGAAGGCTTATGACCACATAGCTTAGACTTCCTTCGACTAGTTCACGGGACTCGAGGGTTTTGGTACAACTGTAAAGTGGAGGATGTTTACATGGAAGTTCATTTCCAAATTTTCCGTTGTTTATTTTTGGTTATGATTGGTGGCTCACCTAAAGGTCTCATGAGTACCCATTACATTTGGAAAGGTGAGCTATAATCTTTTTTCTTTTCACCCTAGTTGCAGAGGTCTATGGAAGAAAGGTCAATAGAACAGCTGATTTGGGATCATATGTGAGATTTAGGCTACGTTGTATTGACTGGAAGAAGAAATCAGAGTGAGTCTAAGTGACACAGTTATAACATATATTCTATTTGCTATTGATAAAATTGTGTCTTTTTATGTGAATGAGGATATATGCAAGACAAGTAGGTCTTAATCTTGCCTCAAAAACAAAAAAGAAAAATAAGAAAAAAAGGGCCTTGGATGGCTTATGTTGGAGAGAAGGTAAAACCTATCGAATCCTTCTGTTATGGGGTTATGGGTGGACAAACATTCATCATGTGAGTGCAGCCTATTTTCATTGACGTATCAATGCATTATAAAAAATCTTGTACAGACATCTAGTTAATTTTCTTATTCCGTTACAGCATTAAAGCCTTAGTCCCTTGCTTGCTTTCTCTTTTTGATTTGTATTTGAAATATAGCTGTTCTTGTTTGGTTAAGCGTTGAATTTATTTATTTAGAGAAAGACAATCTGAATCATCTTTCTTGGATTTGTTGCCTATCTTTGGTTTCATCTACTCGTAACTTTTCTATTTGTGACAGGCCGATTTTATGCTTTTGAGAAGGCCCACCGGTTGGATCCCACCTCTAGTGGTCGTGGTGTTCGCCAATTCAAAACTGCTCTTCTGCAAAGACTGGAGAGGGTAATTTGTTGTATGCCTTTCTCTATTTAATCCTTTATATGTATGGGTTTGAGGTATCATTTATACCGCTGGATATCAAGTTGCATTTTTTATGTGCTATTTATCAAGTAAGCAAAAGTTTAGCATAAGGTAGTGGCTTTCTAAAGCCGCATCTCAAATCTCGCTGAAAATTTATGTTCTGGTGCAGGAAAGCATTAAAATATTGATCTGAATAAAAAGTGGATTTCAAGCCCTAAAAATAGTATCTTGTAACATATCATTTGGACATCCATTTTCAAGTGATGTTAGATCTGCCACATTTGCACCATTTTTTGGGGCTTCAAAGATCGTATAATTCAATGGTGAAAATAGATTTTTGGGCCTTATTGCAGTTTTGAGCACTGGAATTGCATTTTTTGGCGGGTTTTTGGGGTGCGGCTTTGCTTTTTCCCTTTAAGCCTAGGCCTTATGCTAACGACACCCATTAAGTAATGGCTGAGTGTTGTATGTAGTTGTTTACATGTTTTAATTTCTAGAGGCTTTTGTTTCAGCATTAAAAAATGAGAGTGCTTATTCCTCTGTTATTATATTGAGTTCAACTCTTTTAGAATCCTTTTATGCACAAATAACGTAATAGCTAAAAGCAAAAATGAAGATGTGAACCTAGTTTAGGGTTTGTCTGATGATCCTTTTACGAGTACCTGTGAAAACCTCTCGTATAACGTAATTTGCCTCCTCTTCCTCCTCTCTCTTATGGACCTCACTCATAAATGGATTGTGAGGTTATGTGATCTGAAATTGATATTTATTATATAAACTTCACAATGAAATTCCTAGCTATTGACCTCTTTTGTTATTTGATTGTTACCTGAATTTTATTGTTACAGTACCGGGGAGTGACTTCTACATTCAATTTAATCTGTCTGAATCCATGCTGCATACAGTCATATCTTCCATTCTTATGTCTGTTTACAAACAACAATGTTCCTCATGAACATAATTTAACATATAAATCATAGGCTTGTGGCAACCCATCCTTTTTTTGAATTAGTTACATATGTTACCCCTGTAAATAAAATTTAGGAAACTTCAATTGATTCCTAAAAGTTTTGGCAAGTTGGACAAAACTTGACTTGTTAAAAACTGTACTGTATGTCTATATGTGCCCCCGGACATGGCCATAAAAAAGTCCCTATAGAGTTATCCAAAATGTCCATAAGAATCACTAGGATGGTCATTGTCTTCTATGAGGATCAAGAGATTTTGCTCACATGAAAAAAAAAATCATGCGAATGCCTTAATATGAAGGCTGCTTCTTGGATGATCTCATGTTTTCCTAGGATGAATAAACTATTACTACTTTGATAACAAGTAAATCACTATCATGCTCTCTGCAAGGCCATTTCTGAAAGCTGAAAAACCCAGGAGCATTGTTGTTTGTTCTTGTGTAAAATACGTTTTATTGGGCTCGTGGATGACCATGCAATTTGATTTGTCTGATGTTTGCGTGGTCTACTGTTCAAGTAATAGTCTGGAGCACCTTATGGTTTAGTTGGGTTTAGTTCTAAGGTATACAATGTCCAACCTTGGCGAGAGAGACCTTGCACAACCTGTACTCTGCTAAGGAGCTCTTTGAGTGTACTGCAAGACACATCTTGCCGTGGAGTCTATCTGAAATTTATGGTGAGGGATCCACTTGTGTGTTGTCAGTTCTCTCTGGCACAATATCACGTGTGAGTGAGGTTAGCCTTGGAAAGTTCTTAATCATACTCCATAGACTTTATGAATCTTGTTCTTATAGTATGATTCTAATTCTGATATACGGGATTCAATTCCTTTGGCCGATTCCGACACCAGTTATCAACTTGTGAACATCAGAATACATGTAAAAATAACGTGGATCCATGGTACAGGAATTCCCTCTATGCCTTGGTGGTTTGGGTGGCAAGGGTTGACAACACAACATCTTGAGTTCCTTTCTGACCGAGATGCAAGTTTACATATAAACAACAAAAATGGACCAGTTATCAACTCGTGAACATCAGAATACATGTAGAAATAACATGGATCATGATACAGGAATTTCCTCTATGCTTTGGTGGTTTGGGTGGCAAGGGTTGACAACACAATACCTTGAGTTCCTTTCCGACCGAGATCCAAGTTTACATATAAACAACATAAATGGACCATCATATACCTGAGAGCACCAGCAGAATTGGAAACAAGAATGTTGTTCATATAGCAGCCCAAATGGCATGAGGCAAGTTTATAGAGCAAAAGAAATGTTTCCGCATGCCACTTTTCATGTAGTTTTTCCAAGTTGTCTGTTTGTACAGCTGGTATAGGTGCCTTGAGTGGATTTCATTTGTTGTTTTGGTTGATAGTCTGCAGATAAGGGACTATGCATTTATTTCTTTCTCTGTAAGATTAAGAGATTCGACTCATACACCAGAAGTAAATGGACTGTGCTATTTTATATTGATCTAGGGGCTTGCTGGGTTGTGATCATATATGTCATTATTGTGCCTCATTTGTGCTGAATTTCTCAGCATGCTATGATCCCTCGAACACAGCTTTTCTCTGCTTGGTTGAACTGTTCAGCATCTTATGTTTTGCTCCTACTTTGGTCTTCTCGGTATCTCTTCTTTCGTTGAGTCAGGTAATCTGGGTGTTCAAATCTGAACCTCGCGGTTGAGTCAAGGAGAGAATTTTTTTGCATATAGTTCTTGGCATTGATAATTTTTCATTGCTCGAACCCCTCCCTTCTCCTATTTTTCATACATTGGTTAGGCTGTCAGGGTACCTGATGGTTCAAACCTGAACCTTATGGTTGCGGCAAGGATCTCCATACCACCAGAATGTGGTGCTAGTCCTCACAAATATGATATCATGGCATATCCTGAGCCAAGACTCTTGTGAAACTGAAACTAAGAACATCCAGGCAAACTCCACACAAACTAGCAAGCCATATTTATTTTTCATGGATGCATGCTTGCGCTAATCGAAATTCATCATTTCCTGGTTTCACCCTTCTATTTTTTAACTATAGTTCTTTGTTTGTTGATTTGTTTTATTGCGTTTTATGGTCCTCTGACCTTTTTCAACAATATTCTTTCTTGGATTTACTGAATGCAGGATGATGAGCCCTCTCGAATGGGCAGATCAAAAAGTAGTGATGCGCGTGAAATGCAGAGCTTCTATCAGAAGTACTACCAAGAGTATGTTCGAGCATTGGATAGGGCTGCTGATAAGACTGATCGGTAAGTTATATGTGAGATGGAAAGATTCATCTTTTGTATGTTTGGAGCACTCTAGAATATGCCTTTAGCATTGAATAGGGCTGCTGGTAAGACTGATGGGTAAGTTATAGGTGAAATGGAAAGATGCATTTTTTGTATGTTAGGAGCACTATAGAATATGCATTTTGAACCTTCTGGATATGACTTCTTTGCTAAACTTTTATCTGAATGCTGTTCAGTGCACAATTGGCAAAAGCCTATCAAACTGCTGCTGTCCTTTTTGAGGTTCTGAAGGCTCTCAGCCAGAGTGCCTCTGTTGTAGTAGAAGATGAGGTAAAGTTAGACTGAGGGTTTCTCAGAATTGTTTTTTTTAAAGGTTGTAATATGTAATTCTCTATAAATTTTGGTTACTGGGTAATTAACAATGGCCAATTTTGAGTATAATCTAAGCTGAAAAATTATCCTGGAAGTGATATTGTCTTGGCTTTTGTCTGTATCATTTTATTGCTAAAATATTTGCATGTTTAAGCTATTTTGTGTCTTTGTTTTGTTAGATTTTAGAAGCTGGCAATGAAGTTGTTAAGAAGACAGCAATTTTTGTGCCTTACAATATTCTTCCCCTTGATCGTGGTAGTGCAAATCTGGCAATTATGCAGCTACCCGAGGTTTGTTTCTGGTCTCTTATGGGTAACAGTCATTAGAGTCACTCGTTCAGATAATATACCTGCTACAATTACTATGACTGCAAAAGATTTTGCTATTACTCTTACTGTAAAAATGACATCAATATCTTTGTTTTTCATTTTGTATTTTACTATTTATATTAATTTCAATTGATATTTTATGTGAACCAATGCTTGATACTGTTAATAGTACTTTGGAACTCTAGGAGAAGTAGCTGACTTTGTTTTTTGAACTTGTAGATAACTGCTGCAGTTAATGCACTTCGAAATACACGGGGTTTACCATGGCCCCGTGACTATAAAAGGAAGCCAGATGAGGACCTTCTTGACTGGCTTCAGGTTATGTTTGGGTTTCAGGTACTGTTCTCAAAGAGTAGACTGTTTTGATTTCATCTTTTTTGTCCCTTGGGATTCTTTTTGCAGGATCTTTTTAAAGCTTCGCTTCATAATATCTAAATATTGTAGCTGTTGAAGTCATGCACAACTCACTTGTTCTTGTAATGCACAATTTCAGAAGGACAATGTGGCTAATCAAAGGGAGCACTTGATATTGCTGCTTGCAAATGTGCACATTCGGAAAATTAATAAGCCTGACCAGCAGCAGCAGCCAAAGGTTGTCCTTTTTCCCACCAATTTTAATCATGCATGAGTTTGATGTTATCTCTTTAGTTGCTGGATACTAACTTAATTGAATCTGTTGATTACTTAGTTGGATGAACATGCTTTGAATGATGTCATGAAGAAGCTATTCAAGAATTACAAGAAGTGGTGCAAATATTTAGATCGGAAGAGTAGCCTATGGTAGGCATTCCAAATCTTCCTTTCTGTGTTTGTATTGTGCTTAAAGAAAAATTTCTTGTTTCCCATGCTTCTCTGTGTTATGCATGATACTTGAACCTAAAATTTGATAGCTTCTATTTAGTTTTTGGCATGCCTTCTATTACATTAAGGGACCATTGTTATTTTGCTGCAGGTTACCAAGTATACAGCAGGAAGTGCAACAGCGTAAGCTGTTGTACATGGGTCTTTATCTTCTTATCTGGGGAGAGGCTGCAAACTTGCGGTTCATGCCAGAGTGTCTCTGTTATATATATCATCATGTATGAGTTGTCATCAGAACTTTTTATTTATTGAAGATTGGTTTATTCTTTTGTTTGCAAATTAAATTCTTTTTTATATATGTTGTGTACATGGAGCTATCTGAATTCTAAGAAATGGGAAATAGACCTTCCCCTGTCTGAAGACACTATTGAGCGGACTCTATGTCAACAACTCTCATATTGGGACTGACATCTGTCTATTTTTCCGGGAATCTTTCTTTTGATAGGAAGTCATTGTTTTCTGTAGTTCTTATAATCACTTTGTTCGTTTGGTTCAACTGTCCTCATGTGGGCATTTATGACATGTAGATGGCCTTTGAGTTGTATGGCATGCTGGCTGGAAACGTGAGTCCTATGACGGGCGAAAACATTAAACCTGCCTATGGAGGAGATGAAGAAGCTTTTCTCCGAAAAGTTGTAACACCAATATATCAGACAATTGCAAAGGTGGTGTATGTTGCTTGTTTTCTAAAGGCTTTTCATTGTCAGCACCATAGTTATTCAGCGAAACATCTTTGCTTTTGGATGTGCTTCAACATATGTAAAGGGACTCTTCTTTTACTGTAGGAAGCAGAAAGGAGCAGAAGAGGAAAATCAAAGCACTCCCAATGGAGGAACTACGATGATTTGAATGAGTACTTCTGGTATGCTAAGTATAATCTGTTTTCTTTGTAATTTGCTGCTCATTTGTTTACCATTTGCATACTGATGAAGTGAGTTACTTGAACTTCTTATTTGCAGGTCAGTTGATTGTTTCCGCTTGGGGTGGCCCATGCGTGCTGATGCTGATTTCTTTTATCAGCCATTCTCTGAGTTCCGTTCAGATAAGAACGATGTTAGTATTTTTTTTGGCCCTGAAATAGTTTAGTTTTTCTGAATTTCTCATGTCAGTAGATGCACACGCACACATATACATAACAGCCACTGGTAAATTTGATTGCGCATTTCAGATACATGGCACACTTGCACTGACATGTAATGATTTCCTCTATATATCTTCTTTGTTCGATTTGTAAGCTTAGGACTGCTATGTTATTTTAGAATCAAAGTTTGACCTAAAATGATATTTGAACTCCCAAATACCTAATTGTCCTACTTTTTAGAAGTTTGATATTTATGTTGGCGAAAAGAAGTGATATACCTCTTGAAGTACTTTTTGCAAGGATGGAATGGATATTGGTTTGATCCATCCCATTTGTGTCATGACTGAAGTGAAACTGCAAAGCATGCCCTTGGGACATAGACAGACCGCCTACTTGTCTTTTCTATTGATGCCAGAGTTCCCTTTTGCCAACATAAGGGTCATTAAGGATTGAGAAACAAAACTTCGAGCTCTAACAAGTGGGTCAGTTTCCCTAAAACAAACCACAAAAGAAGAAGAAGAAGAAGAAGAAGAAGAAGAAGAAAGTGGGACTTTGACCCATTTAACATAGACAAACCCCTCACCAGTATTGGACCCACAAAGGCCATTTTTGTTCTCAGAAGTGTCATTTATAGAGACTCCCAACATGGGACAGGCTGTGATGGTCCCGTTAATATTGAAGTCCACACAATGTTGTGGAGATCACTGCTCAGAAATTAAATGTAAACCACAGCTGTCATTTCTAGATTGTTCCTACAAAGTCCTTGTGAGCTAGGATCCTTGAGCTAACAATATCCCTTGACAAATTTAATGAACAACCTGGCTGACTTGGCAAATGTCAATACAAGGGCGACTAATAAAAGAGGCTACCCATGGTCTTTATGCAATGTCTTCATTGAGATTCCTGACATCATGAACCTTACTCTATCTTTCCAACATCTTTGGGGAGATGCCAACATAGTGGTGGATTAAATTGCTGAGGGTTGAGGTCCATGGATTATCTCTTACGATCTCTAGTACTCTGCATTTCATGTTTTTTGAGGCCCAACTTTCTTGGGGGCTCAATTATTTGTACAGGCTATGGACTTTTTCTTGAGAAAGCTTAATTGTGTATTATTGTAGCATAGCTGTAGATGATACAGAAATGGCACCACTCTCTCTGGGTACACCTAGACAAAAATCACAACCCACATGTCAGGAACTTAAACAGTACATCAAGAACACAGAAACTGGGCTGGTCCACCATCAGCAAAAAATTGGGGTAGGTGCCTCTTTGGTGCAGCATTCAAGAAGTTGCTTGCTGCTACCTAATCGGTCTCGCATGCCACTTGAGCATGCTCTTTTGCAGGAGCATTGGCAGTCATGTTGGCATCCTGCCAGGTGTGCTTGAAAGTGACTCAAGGAGGCCTGCAAATGTAAAAAATATTGTCTTTAAGGGGTTCATCTTGGGCTAATTTGGAAGCCCATCATATCACATTTTTTGAATTCGCTTCCACTATATGTTAGGTGCCCCAGGTTGGGTCAAATCCCTTCAAACCTTTAACCGAAGTGATACACTCGGCCATTGTTCAGCCAACAATTCCTAAAGCCCACCATATCACATTTGCTGAATTCACCTTCCAATTAAGGGAGTTGCCTCTGGTTGGGTTGAACCTCTTCAAACCTTTAACCAAAGTGATAGACTCGGTCATCGTTGAATCAACAATTCCTATGTGCTCTGAGAAAGATAGTGGAGTGTAGCCTTAAGCATTCCAAAAGATACCGCCGCCCAGCATTTTCCTGGTTTCCAAGGGTGTGTCCATCTATGTTTGTGTTTGACGGACTCTAGAATCTAGATCAGGTAGTCTCAATGAGTTCAATTTGGGGATTGTTGGTCTGAAAGATCCTATGGCCTGCCAGTTCATCTAGAGTCCGCTACTGAGAAGGAATCTTTACAACATTAACCAAAAGATTGTTAGTGGTTTGATGCAGTCTGTGATGGCATGTATGCTTTTTTCCTTTCCTCCTCTCGAGCCAGATATCCCCAATGGTTGCCATCGCTGAGGCTCTGTACAAGAATAGAGTAGCCTTGGCGTATGGTGGGGAATAAAAAGCATTAAAGAGTTGCTGTAACAATTGTGGCGTCACCCAAGTCCAATGGTAACCATTGTTGGCTGGACGCTGGGCAAGCAAAAACAGGTGTTAACTAGTTTCTTTTGCAGTTTGCACGTTATGCATCAGTTCAGGAGGTAGAAATCAATCCTTTGTACTTGGTCAACTGTGTGTCCTCTATTGAACAACTCTTATCCATTGAATGCTTGGACTTTGGGTGGGATAGGGTTAGCCATGCTGGCAGACCTAGTAGCTTGGAGTTAGGGTTTAGCAAAGAGGAAGTTAGGGAAGATCCAAAATTGGACAATGATTCAAAAACCTGTGATTAAAGGAGCACTTGTTGCTCTAGGGTTTTGACTAAAGTCCATAACTAGATGGTGCATTATGCTTGGGCACATCTCTTATATAAGAAAACCCTAAATGGCCATTTATTATAAAAGACTGGAAGTGAATAAAAAGACATAAAAGACTCTAGAAATTGCTATTTATGTCCCTAAGTGAATAAAATGATTCTAGAAATAAGTAGACATAAAGGGCACTTTCAATGACTATTTTGCCCTTCTGCAGTTCCTCTTGTAAACTTTAAGCTCGTCTCTCTTATCTAGATCCTTGAGAATAGTATTCTAGGCTGCATCACATGCTCTATTCATGATGGCTGGGATAGGGGGGCTTGGGATTAACGGGTGGTAAAAGGATGAGGCCGAGAACTTACCAGACTTATTTCGTGCCCTCACACAATTTGTGTAAATGAATTTGAGTTACCAATGAATATAATAAAAAATGTTTGCTCTCTTGCTCACATAAAATATCTTACGGTTTTGTATACAATAGGTGCAGTGATGGCTATGTCGGAAACATAGCTGTCCCTTGTTGGCATCTGATGGTTGGGGTAACTTCACTGTTTGTGTTGAACATATATATTTCTAAATCTTATTATTCCTGTATGACCAAATACTCTACAAGATTGTGAGAAGTTTCGCCATGTCTGTTCTTTGATTTGTATATGAGCTTTTCCCTAATTGTTTTGTTATTTGGTTGTTGATGCCTGCTAATACTGGGTTGTGAATTGTGCTGTGTTATTCCACTTCTGTTATATGGATCTAGAACTTCTTCTAGCTATTTCTTGCTAGAATCTAAATGTTTTTCGACCTTCTTAGCTGATATTAGTGTCATTGGACCATCGTTTTCTCCATTTAGTGCTATGTGGTGATCACCAGATTGTTTTCCCCTTTGGTGAAATGGCTTACAGATTGTTATCTTGTTTTTTTCGCCATTGTTTAACTTCAACCGTTTATATTCATGACGGTAGGTTGGGTTCGGCAGTGCTGTACTTAACATGGTTGGTTTGGTCCATGCAGTGTCCCATTGCTGGGTTAGGTTATTAAACTGGTCTAATTCTGTACCTTTTAGTGTTTCTCAACTGGGTTTTATTATTTTGCTTAATGCTTGACTCTTGCGCATAAGATGCACGATTTGGGTGTGATTGAGCATCAATTATTATAGGCTCATATCTTCGAGATGTAATTTTTTCTAAAGAATTGTGACTTGATTGCAAATTTCTTGGTCCCATGCATGTAACTTCATTTCTTTCTAGGTTCAGGGTAATATGTATCATGAAATATGTTCAAATATGCATATTTATTTGTCTACAGAGCAATCGACCGGCGGGTAGAGATAAATGGGCGGGCAAGGTGAATTTCGTTGAGATACGATCATTTTGGCATATTTTCAGAAGTTTTGACAGAATGTGGAGCTTCTTTATCTTGGCATTACAGGTAAATGTTGAAATTCCACTGTTATTACTTCTGTTTTTTTTTTCTTTGGTTATTGGGGGGTTTCTTAATCAATAGTTGGTTTATTCAAAGGCAATGGTTATAGTTGCATGGAATGGTTCTGGCGAACCTAGTGGAATTTTTGATGGTGGTGTTTTCAAGAAGGTCTTGAGTATATTCATCACTGCTGCTGTGTTGAAGCTTGTGCAAGGTATGTGATCCACATTTACACATGGTCTTGTATGTGAATATGGTCAGGCTATTCATGATCCTTAGTGAGCCTATCATCTGCAGTCAATTCTTGTATGTGAATGTGGATGGGCTATTTTTTGTATGTCCTGTGTAATCAACTCAGGCTTTGACATTTTGAGGCCCACAGTGACTAGATATCGAGTTGTCTTGATTGTGATATTTCTTTTGCACTTTATGTGTTACTGATGACATAATACTGAGGCGTCTGTCCTTTCATGTTCAAGTATTTAATTGTTTCCTTGGCTACATAATATGTGGTAAATATGTGCTGAGGGATCTATGTCAAGTAACTGCTGCTTTGAATTGTGGAGCAGCATGTGCTGCCCCCCTTTCTCTTGCACTCAGTCACTTTCTCCATATTCTTGAATCTGCTTTAGTCCATCTGGTTAAAATGATCTCCTAAGTCATTTGTGATGTTCAGATTTTGTCATCAACTGATCCCACAATAAAGTTCTGCTATTGAACTTTCAATTCCCTTAAAATTAGTTCATTTGTCATAATGTGATCATGTAATTTCATCTTAAGCTTTATGTAGTTTGCTTTCTTTTTCTTACCTCCTTGGTATTTAGTTATACATTTCTCCTACATCTGTTCATGTCAGAATTCAAGGCCCTGGCTCCATTATAACGAACTTGTACTTGAATATTGATGTGCTAAGTTTGAGCTAAGATTACCTATCTATGAAAAAGGTGAAAAGGGGAAAAAAACTCCATGCCTTTTTTAGGATGACATAAAAGAAACAGAAAATGAATCTTTACTTTGTGCTTGTTATGTTTAAAAATATTATTTTACGTTTTATAAGTTCAGCCCTTTCTTTCTTCTTTCTGTGTTCTTGCTTTCTGTAATTGATTTGTAACTTACAGATACGTGAATTCTTGTCTTTCGTTCCTTCTATGACTTTGTTAACTGTTAGGTCTGTAGGAGGTTGGTAGTGTAATGGAATGGGATTATTGCTTCTTTTTTTGATCAGTATATTTCTTTTTCAGCTGTTGCGGATCTAATTTTGAGCTGGAAAGCTATGAGGCGCATGAATTTTTGGGATATCCTGAGATACATCTTGAAGATTGTTTCTGCTGCTGTATGGGTGATCGTTCTGCCCGTATCATATGCCTACACCTGGGAAAATCCATCGGGGCTTGGAAAGACCATCAAGAACTTGTTTGGGAACAGTAGGAAAACCCCTTCGTTATACATTTCAGCTGTTGTTGTGTACTTATCACCTAATATACTTGCCACTGTGCTTTTCTTGTTCCCTTGGGTACGACGAGTTCTAGAAAGATCGAACTGGAAGATCGTGACCTTCATGATGTGGTGGGCCCAGGTAAGGCAGATTGTCATGGTCAAATTGAGCTCACTATAATCTGTGTTTTTATTTCTTTCTGCTGTATTCACTTCTGCAGCTGATCTTCTTGTTATGGTTTTTGACCTATTGTTTTAGTTGTTCTTCATTTTTCTTTCTATTTCTTTCCGTATATGCTCTCTCGCTCTTATGTGGCATGCCTCCTTTTTAGTGCTACTTGATGTGCTGTCAATTATTAAAAGTAAAATGTTGTACATGAGTAGTAAATTAATTTAAAACTTTATAAAAAAAAATTGTTGGACATGGGTTGAGAGTTTTTTGTATTTTGTGTAAGTTTTGCATACATGTCAGATATGATTTCCAAATGGTCTGCGCTGGTTGTACATTGCCTGTTTTCTGATGTTATTCACACTGTTCATACTTGTTATACTTTATGTGGCAGCCTCGGCTCTATGTAAGCAGGGGAATGCATGAAAATACATGTTCCCTTTTCAAGTAAGATGGAGTATTCTGCTGATATTTTTTTTAAGATTATTTTGTGGTGCTTTTCTGTATGAATTATTAATGTTCAGTTTCAGGCCTTTGAGGTGATGTATATGTTTCCTTTTGTGATTTCAATATTCAGGTACACAATGTTCTGGGTTCTTCTTATTATATCAAAGTTGGCGTTCAGTTACTATGTTGAGGTATGAGTTTTGACATTCATCTCATTCAAGTTCTAGTTTCTTATTAAACTTAGGGAATGTCATTGTATTGGGTTTTTTTGATGTACTTAATTTTTTTTGACGGTCTGCCATTAGATTTGTTTTATTTTATGATATTTTTGTCCATTTTTTGGTCGTTTTAAGTTCTTCTTAGTTTCTAAGTTTTAGTTTAATGGTTCTGAATTTCTTGGATGCTTATTTGCTTCAGATAAAGCCCCTGGTGGAACCAACTAAGGAAATTATGGCTATGCAAGTTGGGAATTTTGAATGGCATGAATTCTTTCCACGAGGTAGTATCAGTGGATCATAAATGCTAGTGCCATGAGTAGAAAAATCGATCACTCATGATATGCTTTACTGTGATTGCAGCCAAGAACAACATCGGTGTTGTGATTGCATTATGGGCTCCTATTATTCTTGTAAGCTTTGCATAGCTTGATTTGCAAGTTATCATTTTGTCTTCTTGTTTCTGGAATATTGGGTAATGTGTTGATCCTTCTTCAGGTCTATTTCATGGATACCCAAATATGGTATGCTATTTTCTCTACTCTATTTGGAGGTATCTATGGAGCCTTCCGCCGTCTTGGTGAGGTCTGTGCAATGGCTTTTGTTATGTGTCTTTATTTCCTAGATGCTGACAATTTGGTGATTTCTGTTTTGCAAAAAAGAGGGGAAAAAAGAAGAAGAGTAGATTTGTTATTCTTTTGCTGTTTGTTGCACTTATCTGCTTTTCTGGGTTCTCTTTTAAAAACTTTTTCTTGTGGATACCATATTTAATTTTCTGTTGTTTTACATTTGCATATTCCAGATTCGCACATTAGGTATGTTGAGATCTCGGTTTCAATCTTTACCTGGTGCTTTCAATGGCTGCTTAGTGCCAAAGGAGAAGAGTGATGAGAAGCAGAAAGGATTCAAGGCCACCTTTTCACGAAAATATGAAAAGATTGAGGTTCTATCTCTTGCTTTTATCATTATTATTTTTTATTTCAAATCTGTGAAAATTCTCAGTAATTTCTTATCCTTATTGTGGAATATTACTGGTGATTCCAGCTTGAAACTGGGAATTTGCTCGAGGCTGCGAAATTCTCTCAACTTTGGAATGAAGTTATTAGTAGTTTCAGAGAGGAAGATCTTATTAGTGACAAGTAAGAACTAACAAGAACGGCTGATGTGTAGTTCTTATTGTAATTCAAAATGCTATGGATAGCATGCTGTAACAGTCTTCCTTCCACACTTAATCTGTAGTTTGTAATTTTTATCCTGTGGGTGATCACCACATTGTGTTGATTCATATATAATTTCAGGGAAAGGGACTTACTGCTTGTCCCATATTGGTCTGATCCTGATTTGGACCTTATTCAGTGGCCTCCTTTCTTACTTGCTAGCAAGGTACGGCTTGACTGGTATTCTTGTAGAATGAAAATGTGCGATTAGTTTTTGACATTATTGTGTTGTATTGTTGCTTTCTAGATACCGATTGCATTAGACATGGCAAAAGACAGCGATGATAAAGACCGTGAACTGATGAAGAGAGTTCTAAGGGATAATTATATGCTTTGGGCTGTTCGAGAGTGCTATGCATCATTTAAGAGTATTATGAAGCATTTAGTTGTTAGGCAATGGGAGAAAAAGTAAGCAAACCTTTGGGATGAACATTTATTCTTTTTGGTTCCTTCGTATGTACATTTATGATGTGTTTTTGCTGAATAATGATGTTTTTTTCTCTTTGTAATGAAAAGTAATCTCTTATGACTGTCAACTTTTCATTTAGACGGATTGACTCATCGCATATTCTGTTTGCAAATGATATTTGCAGGGTTGTTGAGCACCTTCTAGAAAAAGTTGACAAAGCCATTGAAAACAACGAATTGACAAAACAGTTTAACATGAGTTATCTTCTAGTCCTCTACAAGCACTTTGTGAAGCTAATTGAGTTCTTGGTAAAGCTGAAACGTTTTTATAATTTATTGTTTTTGTCTGCTGCTCTGTTTTTTGTATTGATTGTGTGTTTTCATTTTGGTAGAAAGAAAATAATAAAGAGAACAGGGGTCAAGTTGTCATAGTTTTCCAAGACATGCTGGAAGTTGTGATTAGAGACATAATGGATGAGTCCATTGCAAGGTTGTTCAGCTTTAGATTTGTGTGTCTATTCTAAGATTCCAGTTATCATTGCCTTCTAATCTAGTTTCAATAAACTTTGCAGTATATTAGATTCTTTGCATGGCTCCGATGCCAGCGAGGAAGTTATGGCTCTGGAAGAGAAGACCCAATTATTTGCATCAGCAGGAGCAATCAAGTTTCCTATACCTAATACAGATGCCTGGAAAGAGAAGGTCAGTTTTGTTTTATATGATGATCATTGTGTTTTGATGTTCCTTAGGTGTCGACATCGCTTGGAGGTCTTACTGTTCCAATTTCTCAGATCAAAAGGCTTCATCTACTGTTGACCGAGAAGGAATCTGCCATGGATGTGCCTTCCAACTTAGAAGCAAAAAGGCGAATTACTTTCTTCACTAACTCTTTATTTATGTACATGCCACCTGCACCCAAAGTTCGTAACATGCTCTCGTTTAGGTATGTTGTGTTAAAGAGGATGTGGAACAGGTTCTTCTGTAAATGTTTTGTATTTGTTGTGTTTTTCATATGCGTTATACATGTGTTCTAGTATGATATTATGACAGGGATTTTTAGTAACTTTGTAGGAAGGGGCCTGTCGTCAAAACTCTAAGATTTTACCCAAATGGATATTTGTGTCCCTATTGCTTTTGAACAGTAGGAGATGTCCTGATAATGTGTCTTTCTGGAGCAGTGTTTTAACCCCATATTACACAGAAGATGTCCTTTTCTCTATACCTGCTCTCAAAGAGCCTAATGAAGATGGTGTTTCTATCCTTTTCTACCTGCAAAAAATTTATCCAGGTTTGATATACATTAAGCATCTGAGAAAATTTGATGCATTTGCTGACTGTTTTGTTTTAGGACTTATTTATCCATCTGTCCTTTGCTTTTTTATTGTTCAGATGAATGGACCAATTTTCTTGAGCGAGTGGGATGCAAATCTGAAGAAGAACTTAGGAATACTGAGGGCCTTGAGGAGGAGCTCAGATTGTGGGCATCCTACAGGGGCCAAACATTGACGAAAACAGGTATCAATATTCAATTCACTTGATTTGGAAACATGGCAATTCTTGCTTGTGTACAAATAGTACAGATGGTGCATATTGTGGTCTTCGCACTCGTTGCTAAGCTATGTTGTTATCACGTTTGGCAGTTAGGGGAATGATGTATTATCGAAAGGCTCTGGAGCTGCAATCTTTTCTGGATACAGCCAAAAAAGAAGGTCAGCAAATGCGCTATGGGATGTGGGTTTTTTATTAGATAAGCATATTATAGTGTAACAGACTGGATCATTCATAGTTCTTGGGGTCATGACCATTCGATCAATGGATGGACGATAATGGCGAAAATGTGAGGCCCACCAATGGGTCATGTCATATACCTGTGGGTCCCACTTTCTGCATCACTGTTTGATGATTGGAAAGTTGTGTTCAGTTAGACTATGGTTTTTCCTTGTCTGTCAGATTAGAATGTATTTTTTCATAATGTTGATCTGTAAGCATGTGCAGCTTCTGAAGGGTACATATTACATGCTCTAAATAATATTTTTGCTGCCAGATATTTTGGAAGGTTACAAGGCAGTTGAACCAGAAGAACAAAAAAACATTGGACGCTCGTTGTGGGCACACTGTCTTGCTGTTGCCGATATGAAGTTCACTTACGTGGTTTCATGCCAGCAATATGGAATTCAAAAGCGTTCTGGTGACCCACGTGCACAGGATATTCTAAGGCTTATGGTGAAGTGCGTCTTTTGAAAACCCTTAGAAACTATATTTGAAAATTCCTTTGCATGATCTTTTATTCATTATTATTTTTTGATTAGTGGCTTTATTATTATATTGAAATTTCATGTACAAGATCTTTGTAGTTGTCGAATTTATACACACAAAAGAAAACCACAAAAGTGGAAATAGTGTTTGTAGAGTGGATGCGCTATAAATGGTGCCAGCCTATGTATCCTCTCAGCTAATGAATCAGCCTATACTGTTTAGTTCTCTCTATGCACAAAAATGATTATTAAGCCTCGTCATATTTCAAAAATATCATAAAAAGGAGCTAATTGCCACAATATGGATGACTCTTGCTTTGCCGTTGTTCATGATTATTTTCAACTATGTGGGGCTTTGCTTTTGTCTAGATATCCAGCCCTCCGTGTAGCTTACATTGATGAAGTTGAAGAACCTTGCCCCGGTAAATCCAAGACAGCTACCGAGAAGGTCTATTACTCGGCTTTAGTGAAGGCCGTACCCTCTCAGGACCAGGAGCAACAGTTGGACCAGGTAAATGCAGTTTCACTTGTTAGATGTTAAGACCTACAAAGTTCTATTCTTCACTGATTTATCAGTTGAATGAATACAAAGTTTAATTATATGTAGTGAATGTGTTATACCAATGATTTTATTCTATGACTGGTGAACTCTTGGAAAGAAACCAGTATAAGTTGAAAACTATAACTTTTGGCTAGTTTTGATGAGATATAGGTCGGCCCTTCATTGTAAAAAGCACACTTGGAATAAAGAGTCGGAGTAAAGAGATTTTATTAGGTTTTCTTTATTCCACTATTAAATAACATAGGCTAGGAGAAGTGTTTTGTGTGGCAGACCCATTCTAAGGTGCTTGCAAATCATTGTCTGTTAACCACTGCATCATTTTAACCATGAAAGAGAAATAATGCCTTGGAAGCACTTCCCATATGCAGTATAAGTTTAATAAGAACAGAATGATGGGCATCACCACGTGTAGGGGACCAGATTTAGAAAATCTAGTTGGATGTCATGCACTGCATTTTTGTATGTGGTATTTTCCAAAGCTAATTGCTATGGATATTAATTATCTTGTACAGGTGATCTATCGCATTAAGCTTCCAGGCCCTGCTATGATTGGTGAAGGAAAGCCAGAAAACCAGAATCATGCTATTATTTTCACACGTGGTGAAGGTTTGCAAACCATTGATATGAATCAGGTCTGAAATTGTGCCATGATCTTCTCTTTTTGAATATGAACACATTTTCATATCTCTTAATGGAATGTATTTTAATAGCGATTCTGTTTCGTGCCTACTCTACTACAGGATAACTACTTGGAGGAAGCCTTCAAAATGAGAAATTTATTGGAAGAATTTCTGAAACATCATGGTGTGAGACAACCAACCATCCTTGGGCTTAGGGAGCATATATTTACTGGAAGGTTTTTTTTGTTTTTACCCTCTGTATTTGGGTTCAGTTGATAGCTTAATGGTTTTGGTCAGCAATTGAATTTGTCAGATGGTATAATCACATGGAAAATACTACATGACCTTTGGAATCCTGTGGTCATGAGGGTCATCACCGTCAAATTGATGGGTTGGATGGTGATGGAGACACAGTGGTCCCCTCTTTGAAGTCATGTCATGTTCTTGTTGGTTCCACTCTCTATTATAATCAAATCTATGAATTGGACTGTGATGTCTGTCTTGACCATGGACTTCTCATAACTGTGGACTTCATGGGCCATGATGCATATAGTATTTTTTCTCAAAACTAAAAAAAATGAAATACAGTTTCCTTATTAGATACAATATGGCTTATTGTTCGTTTTGTGACTTCTGCAGTGTTTCTTCACTTGCCTGGTTCATGTCAAATCAAGAGACCAGTTTTGTTACTATTGGACAAAGATTGCTAGCAAACCCATTGAAGTAAGCTCTTGAGTTTTAACACTTGCGATAATGATATACTGGTGACCTGCCTGCCTCCGGAAATATTTTGAAGATATGGAATTGTGGTTTACAATATGTTTCCTTGTTTATCAGCCTTGCAAAATGGATGTACTGTTCTAATTTTCCAAAATTATTGTCCTGTAATTCCACCTGATAGTAAGAGGGACAAATATATGATTGCAGAACTAAAATTCTCCTATTCGTCGGTGAGAACTGATTCTATACTTTCTACTAATATTCGGGTACTCCTACTAATGTAGGAAAACTTGAAGAAACCTAGAAAAATCAGCAAGAAGCACAAAATTTTGGAGAAATCCTAGGGTTTTCTCCTATCTAGGGCTCAACCCTTAGGCTTCTTTTACAAGACAAAGTCTTTCGTTTTTTAAGGACGAATACATGAATGACTCTCCAGCTCATCCATGCCCTTATTTATATTGAAAAAGTATTGTTTTGGACAATATTTGTCCATACAATTTAACTTTTGACCAAAAGGTCATTTAAACATAACTTGAAACTAAACTCCCTAACTTTAATAAAAATATCTAAAAGGTCCTTAATTGTTCCAGCGATGAAATAAATACATAAAAACATATGAAATAGCCTCAAATAACTAAAGAGGAACACCCATAATATTTCTTGCTCGTCTTGTTCTTCTTGAAAGCCCACCTAGGGTTTTCATCCTCTAAATATGAGCGAAAATTAGGAGGAATATGTCGCTCCAAAAGAAGATACTTGTGGCTACTTGTTTTGTTATGATCTTCATCATTCTCCCTTGGTTGAGGAGAATTCGCCCTCGAGTTCATATCTTCATCTTCATGCACCTCCATACCATGATACTCTGACAGATCAACAATGTTGAAGATGTCTGAAGTCTCCATGTGTGAAGGCAAAGCGACTTTGTAAGCATTGCTGTCCATCTTCTTCAAAATCTTGGATGGTCTTGCCTTGCGATCATTCAGCTTGCTGTATTTTCCTACCGGATGTCATTCCTTCCTTAGATACGCCATTACCCAATCTCCCACGTTAAACTCCTTGAAACGGCAATGCTTATCCGCTGCGTCCTTGTATTTGGACGTATTGGTTTTTCATGCACTTCTAGACTAGCACACAATTGTTCATGCACTTCTTTCATTTGTTCAACCAAGTCCTCAACAGTAGCATGATCCTCCCCATTGGCTTGGACAGGAACCAAGTCAAGCGAATGAGTAGGGTTTTTCCTATATTCCAACCCGAAAGGACTCTTACCAGTAGATCTATTGCGAACACTGTAGTATTTAAACTCCACCAATACTATGGTTTTGTCTTGACCAAAATGTCCACCAAGACCTCCCCCATGAAGCTCTGCTATTAGGGTTTCTCTAAGGGAACCCGCAGGAATACAAAGATTGTTTCCCTTGAAGAGCAATCCATCTTGAATGAGAAAATCCCCACGAACTCCACTGTAACACCGGTCCCATATCTCCCTTAAGTCGTCGTCATCTACATAAAGATCCTTCATAAATTCGAACCCAATAATAGTAATCGCCATGGTAGTTAATAGAGTTGACCTTCTACTCAAAGCATCTGCCACTCTATTCTGAATGCCTTCCTTGTGCCGAATAACAAAAGTAAACTCCTGCAAATAGGCTCCCCATCGAGCATGTCGTTAATTTAGTTTATGTTGCCCTTATTATACTTCAATGCTTCATGATATGAGAACAAAATAAATTCCCGTTGAATCAGGTAATGGCGTCAAAATGCCTTAAGGCTTGAATAATAGCATAGAACTCCACATCATAAGTAGAATAGCATCGGCGGGTATCATTCAAATTCTCGCTGAAGAAGGCAATAGGGCGACCATCTTGGCTCAACACTACACTGATTCCAACATGCGAAGCATCACAATCCAACTCCAAGCCTTTATCAAAGTCCGGAAGAGCCAACATGGGTGCCTCAGTCATCTTCTGCTTCACCAACTGAAAATTTTTCTCTGCTTCAGCAGTCCATACAAATCCCCCCTTCTTCAGACAATCTGTGATGGGTGCTATGATCGAACTGAAGCCTTTGACAAACTTCCTATAAAAAGTAGCGAACCAATGAAAACTGCGAACATCATGAACTATAGTAGGGGTAGGCTAGTCCCTGATAACTGCTAACTCCTTGGTCAACCTTGATTTCCCCAGCTGAAAGAACATAGCCAAGAGAGATGAGGCTATCTGTCATGAATTCACATTTTTTATGATACAAATACAATTATTGTTCCCATAGCGAGTCAAACACCACCCACAAGTGCTCCATATGCACTTGCTCACCAATGCTGTACACTAGAATATTATCAAAGTATGCCACTACGAATTTTCCAATAAAAGGCTTGAACACTTGATTCATCTCACCCTCATAAAAGTATTGGGCGCATTGGAGAGACCAAATGGCATCACCAACTACTCATAAAGGCCCTCTCGTGTTTTGAATGCAGTCTTCCACTCATCGCCAGGTCGAATGAAGATCTGATAGTACCCACTCCTCAAATTTGTCTTTGAAATACATTAGCACCAACCAACATATCTAACATATCATCTAGGCGTGGATTTGGGAAGCAGTACTTGATTGTGATCTTGTTAATGGCCCTACTATCCACACACATGTGCCAAGTCCTATCCTTTTTAGGCATCAACAAAGCCAGGACATCACAAGGGCTCATATTCTCTCGTATGAACCCCTTATTTAGAAGCTCTGTGATCTCTCTCTCCTTTGGGCTCTGTTTGATAGGCTAGGCCCAGGAATGAGGTCGATGTGATGTTAGATGTCCCTCATGGGTGGTAAACCCTCTGGTAGCTCATATGGAGTGATATCACTATAGTCCCTCATTAAGGGCTCTAACTGTGGTGGAACCGAACTAATAGGCTGCTCCTCCACTGGAACCACTGCAAACACCATCCTTGACTCTTCCAATCCCTCCATAAACTCAGCCAAAGAAAGAAGGCTAGCACACCCTTCATCTGATTTGGAAGCACTTTCCTTCTTAGATGCCTAAAACCGCCTTTATCTCATCTTTGACAAAGGAATAAGTGTTTTTAAATCCATTGTGTATGGTATGTCTATCATACTGCCATGGTCTACCCAATAATAAATGACATGCATCCATAGGCACAACATCACCCCACACCTCATCTTTATAATGCTTTCCAATAGAAAAAGAAAATAGACAGCGCTTAGAAACTATTACCTCATTTCCCTTTTTGAACCAAGCTATCTTGTATTGTTTTGGATGGCTCTCTATCTTCAACTTTAGCTTGTCTGCATCTCCTGAGAAACAATATTTTCACAGCTGCCCCCATCAATGATAAGATTGTAAACCTTCCCATAGGCCGTGCATCTAGTGTGGAAAATATCAGTGCGCAACCAATCTATCTCATCTACAACCTTGGGTGTCACCATGCTGCGTCGGATCACCAAAGCCTCCCCATGGTCACTAAAGGTTACTTCAGGCTCTTCTCCTTGGGCTTTTCATCATAAATAAGGTCCCCATCAAAAGATAGTTTGCTGTCCTCGAACACCTGCTCAGCAAGGGCCACAAATTTTCTATTCGGGCATTGAGAAGAGACATGTCCAATCCCCGAACACTTCAAGCATTTTATGGTGCTGTTGTTTGGGCAACTAGAACCAGCCCGAACCACAATTTCCTATTGTTTTGATAGACTAGCAGGACGTGAGGTCTGTCCACCCACAAAACTTTCACCTTTTCTCTTAAATTCTCCTCCACGGCCACTTGGGCCACCCTAGCTTACAGCCCACCTTGATGATGGACGCCTCAGTTGAGCTTCAACCTTAATTGCGAGGTTGTGAGCCTCATCTAAGGTCCAATACCGCTGTAAAACCACTACATCTTGTATAGACGATCTTAGTCCACCAACATAACGAACTAAGGATTGTTCTTCCCTTTCAACCACATCACTGCGAGCCATCAACTCATAAAATTCATCGGTATACTCTTCTACACTCTTTTCACCTTGATGAAGATTCTTCATCTTGTGATAGAGGGATTGTAAATAATTTTCAGGCAGGTATTTTTCTTTTAATTTCTTTTTCATCTTCTCCCATGTATTCCCATCCTCTCGCTTCTAGCCCTACGTTGTGCCCACCATGCCGAAGCACCTTTTTTCAATTTTATGGCAATAATGTTTACCCTTTTATTTTCAGGTGCCTCCTTGTAATAAAAAACCCTTTCTACTGTATTTAACCTATCTATAAACTCCTCGATTTGAGGCTTACTGTCAAAATCAGTTATATCCACCTTCAAATTGACATTCCTAGAGTGACGCTCCTCACGTCTTGGTCTCCGGTAGCTATCTTCATCACTCGACTCCACACGTGAAGTGTGATGGTGAAAAGAGTTGTATTCGAGATCCTCTTGGGCTGAAAGATGAACGTTTTGCCCAATTATTGAGGATCGTGGATTGTTGTGTCAACTGCTGAACTTGTCTTTCAAGTTCTTCAATTATCTGATCTCTAGGATCATGGAGCGGGTCCACGAAAATCCCCTTCTACCGCCCCTTCTTGCTGCCATGGGTTCACGAAATCACAAACCCTAGGCAACTAATCAACAAAAGTGGTTGAAATCAGCAAAATTTAGGTTGTTTTTGGCAAAACTTCGACCGAAATCTGCTAACCCTAGAGCCAACTATAATTTCCCCTCTTTTTTGTTGACCTAGTGCACCAAAAAAAATGGTTCTAAAGTAAATTCCGTACTGCTACAGCAACTGCCGTACCTGCTACATTACTTTTGTACTTGCTACAGTACTTCGTGTGGATCGCAAGCTCTGATACCATTGATGTAGGAGAACTTGAAGAAACTTAGAAAAATTAATAAGAGGCACACAATTTTGGAGAAACCCTAGGGTTTTCTCCTATCTAGGGCTCAAGCCTTAGGCTTCTTTTACAAGACAAAGTCTTTCTTTTCTTAAAGACGAATACATGAATGACTCTCCAGCTCATCCATGTCATTATTTATATTGAAAAATTGTTGTTTTAGACAGTATTTGTCCATACAATTTAGCTTTTGAACAAAAGGTCCTAACTTAAGCATAACTTAAACTAAACTCCCTAACTTTAATTAAAATATCTAAAAGGTCCCTAACTGTTCTAACAATGAAATAAATACATAAAAACATCCAAAATAGCCTCAAATAACTAAAAAGAAATACCCATACTATTTCTTGCTCTTCTTGGAAGCCTTCCTCGGGTTTTCATCCTCCAAATATGAGCTAGAATTAGGAAGAATATGTCACTCCAAAAGAAGATACTCGTGGCTACTTCTTGTGCTATGATCTTCATCACCTACTCAGCATCCAACATCCATACTTATCAAGGGCAGTGGAGTTAACTTTTCACGGTAAGAAATAGGTTGGCTTTAAAAATAGCAACCATTGGACTTGGATAAACATAGACAATGAGATGTTGGATATGAGTAGAAAAAAAGAGGATGTTGGATCCGAGTACTCTACTCTATACTTGCACTGGGTATGAAAAATTTCTTTTCATTGATTTTCGAAGTTATTGAATCCTAAAGAAATTTGGTGGAAGTCAATTGACTTTCACTGCCGTCAAGTGCCCTAATGTTTTCAAGGTGCATTATAAGTTCTGCTGGAAATCTGGCTTACTCCTGTCGCCTATGCACAATATTCAGTGTCGTGGCTCAAATGTTGTTTTGCTGGTTTTGCTTCCAATATTCTGTGTGAAATGTATCGTAGATCATAACTTTCACTGCCGTCAAGTGCTCTAACATATATACAAGGTGCATTATAGGTTCTGTTGGAAATCTGGCTTATTCCTGTTGCCTATAGACAAATTCACTGTCATGGCTGAAATTTTGTTTTGGTGGTATTGCTTCCTATAATCTATGTGAAATGTATCATATATCTAAATCTATGACTAAACAAGCTTAAGCATTTTAGTTTGAGTGGCATTGGAGATTTTTTTTTTTTTGAAAAATAAAAAATGGTCCCTAGGGAAATTCCTCAAAAATAAAGCCATCGACTCATTCTATGGAATCACTTGATCCTTATGTATCGTAAGCGTTTTAGTTCAAGTGGAAAAGGATAATTTGTTTTTTTGACAAATAAAAAATGATGGTCCCTAGCAAAATTCCCCAAAAATAAAGCCATCCACTCATTCAATGGAATTACTTGATCCTTAACCTTTATCCATTTGTTTTATTTTTATTGCAAGTCATTCATCCAACTTGTTTCATTTACCACTTAACCATTCTTATTTATGTAAATGAAAATTATAAATCATAACCATTCAAAACCATATTCAGAACTAAAAGAAAATTCATGGATATGATGAAGTTTAAGAAGTCTGTATTCTAGTGGATTAGTACTACAATATAATGTAGTATAATCATAGCTGCTGATATGATAAAAAAAATGTTCAAGTTGCTTTCTTGAACTTAAGGAACTTTTATTTTTGAACTTAAAGGTTATTAGAGTTGATAAAATTGTAGGTAATCTGACACTGTATACATCTTGTTTTTTGCTTAGGGTGCGATTTCACTATGGTCATCCAGATGTCTTCGATAGATTGTTTCATCTCACAAGGGGAGGAGTGAGCAAAGCCTCAAAAACCATCAACCTGAGTGAAGACATTTTTGCAGGTACGTTCTTGGTTTTGAGCTGTAGTCTTTCTGGTAGATTTTCTCTTATCTTGTTCAAATTTAATGTCATGTATTTTAGCTTTCCTTGAGGGAAAGTATATTGTAAATCCAGTGGACCATGGTTTTCATTATCTATTGGAAAACCATAGTCCAATGTGATCTCTGACAGATAGGAAGGTGGAAGCCACCATTAGGGTCCATGTCATGTTCTGGTGAATCTTACTATCTCCATCATTTCACGGAACAGTAATAGCTCAGGTGGACTGTGGTTTTCCACTGTCTATTGTGTATATTTATGCTTACGATTTGTTTTTTGATAGTAATCTTTATATAATTTACTCATTTGTGACTTATACAGGCTTCAATTCAACACTCCGTGAAGGCAATGTAACTCATCATGAATACATGCAAGTTGGCAAAGGGCGAGATGTGGGTCTGAATCAGATCTCTATGTTTGAGGCAAAGATAGCCAATGGAAATGGTGAGCAGACCCTGAGCCGGGATATATATCGTCTAGGACACCGTTTCGATTTCTTCCGGATGCTCTCATGTTATTTCACCACTGTGGGCTTCTACTTTAGTACTCTGGTACAGTGCCTGCTGACCCTCTTTTCTGATGGTTACCAACTTGAAGAATATATTATGGGATTGTATATGCTATAACACTAATACACTATTTACTTTTGGTACAAAGAGGTCACAATCACTTTTATCCAGTGGATGTGAAATCCGACTGATTGAAGTGTGTCACAACATTTGAGAAATTTTATTTTGGACTTTGTGCCCAGTCAATGATACATCTCCGGCCACCCGATTTTGCATCTTACGGTAAAAAATGATTGAGACCTTGTAATACCAAAAAGAAATGGTCTTATTGTATGCATTTCCATATATTGTGCACGAATTTTATATTTGCTGCACCGCTGGGCATTTACTGTCCATTCACACGATACTTGCTGGAGATGAGTTGTAGTTTCATGGTGATTGTCCTCACGTGGTTCATGTCCATTTTGGTCTTGAGAAGGGTCATTATGGATGCTCTACCTGTGTAATGCAAACCATAGGCAGTACGATATCCTATTCCAATCGTTTTGAGCATCAGTACTTGGGATATCTAACTCGGGTTCTTGTTTCAACTCTCAGATTACGGTGCTCACTGTCTATGCCTTCTTGTATGGTCGCCTTTATCTTGTTCTTAGTGGGCTTGAAAAGGCAATGATCAGGCAAGCGTCTGCACAAAGTAGCACGTCTGTTCAAGTGGCCCTTGCTTCTCAGTCCTTTGTGCAGCTAGGGTTTTTGATGGCGTTGCCCATGATGATGGAGATTGGGTTAGAGAGGGGCTTCCGAAATGCTTTGAGCGATTTTGTGTTGATGCAACTGCAATTGGCACCTGTGTTTTTTACATTCTCCCTGGGGACTAAAACCCATTATTATGGAAGGACCTTGCTTCATGGAGGTGCCAAGTATAGAGCAACAGGCCGTGGCTTTGTGGTCTTCCATGCCAAGTTTGCAGAAAACTACAGGTTCTAGCACCATCTTTGTGATTTCTTATATGTTGTTGTAGTAGGCTAGTGTAATGCCGTACAATGGACTGTGTTGTATGGTATTTCATGCTACATCCAACTTTACTTTCCACTGGTGGATTGTTGGATGTTAACTTGGTGGACCTAGGGGACTTCCAACTGGATATAGTTAATCTCCAACCATTGACGATGAGGATGACGAAGATGTGGATGTAGCTTGGAGTGCCATACACAAGTCTGCCATGTTTTCCCATGATTGTGACGTAAATGTATGGTTTGTAACTTAGATTGTTATAACTTAGTGTATACCAATTGTAATTATATTGTTTTTAAGTTCGTGAATTATTTGGAATATACATTGATGTAAGTTGTAACTTATTTGTCTGGAAAGAGGGCAATTGTTGGAGTATGACATATGGTACACCAAGCGGCATCAATTGTCCATTCCTGATGACAGGTGTGGATACTATCATACTGGGCCCACTGGGACATTCATCCTAAATCACGTGGTCTCTGCCTCCTGTCATCGAAAAGATGAAAACTGACAATTGGTGCATATTTGGAGGACAATTGGTGCATATTTGGTGGAGTAGCATATACCATACTATATTGGATTGTGGTAACTGTTAATCCTTGAATAAATGTTACAAATGAAATAAGTTTCTTGAATGACATTGCTTCACATGGGCTGCAGAATAGTCTATAACATGTATTAATGAAGCTGAGATTAATTTGTAACACAATCTTGTAACTTAAAGCCTGTTTGGATGCTTTTCAAAGTAGTGTGCCACTGGGTTGCCTTAATAGCCATGGAGGCAAAGCACATGCCTTTAGTATTGCCTCCGCCACTAATAAGTTGAGTTCTCCATACGAGTTGGCGGATATTGGCCCTCACCAAATGCTAAAGAGAGTGGGGCCCGCATATATATTGGTCCTTTAAGGCTGTCCTGTAGTGTGTTTTCTCAATGTGGAAGAAATTTTGACTTACAAAAAGAAAAAAATTTGCAGGTTGTACTCCCGAAGCCACTTTGTCAAAGGGATTGAGCTGCTGATCTTGCTTCTTGTGTACGAAATCTTTGGTGCATCATATCATAGCACAGTGGCATACATCTTGATCACATTCTCTATGTGGTTTATGGTTGGCACTTGGCTCTTTGCTCCCTTCCTCTTTAACCCTTCTGGGTTTGAGTGGCAAAAGATTGTGGATGATTGGACTGATTGGAAGAAGTGGATCAACAACCGAGGTGGTATTGGGGTGCCTACTGAGAAGAGTTGGGAATCATGGTGGGATAGTGAGCAGGAGCATCTGAGGGATTCAGGGATTCGCGGGCTTGCTACTGAAATTATTTTATCTCTGCGCTTCTTTCTCTACCAGTATGGGCTTGTTTATCACCTAAACATAACCAAGAATACAAGAAATGTTTTGGTATGTGCTGTATAACTGTGTTTAGTATTTGTTTACCATTTCTCTTATCTTTGTCCTGATACTTAGAACACCTGCATTGGGACCTGTTTTTGTTCTTGAAGTTCACAATATGAAAACATGCCTGCACCTGTTGGTTTTTTTATCAATGTCGTTTTAGCTTCTCTTGCTTTTTAGTTTCAAGGTTTTGGACCATCTTTGTAAGCTATCCAGATACTATGGATATTCTTCTTACGTATGTTTATTTTTTGGGGAAGGATGGATGGTATTTGTTGCTCCAAAGGGGCATCTGCTGTTGGTTCCCAGTGATGGGCAGTAGGGAGTAATTTTACCTTTGTGAATCTCCTTGTTGGGCCCACTGACTTAATCTCTGCTGCGGATCAGTTGTTGAGAATGGAGTAATGACAGCTGTGCTTGGATTACCTCTACCGTACATCATTGGAATATGATATTGTTTCTTTTTTGTTATAAGGTCCATTAGAGAAAAGCTTCTTTTCTTTGGTTTTTCACTTCTTACATTTCATAGTGTTGAAATTCTTCCGAAAAAAATCTTGGGGTAATAATTTGTAGGATACTATTAAATTTGTGTTTTTTCTCACAAGTGTCTCCAATAAATAAAAATGGAAAGGTTTCAAGTGTAATTTAATCAAATAATATCTCATAAGTAAATCAGTATGCTAATACTTTGTATTGGATTAAGGTTTATTTGATGTGGTCTGGTTTGATTAGGGTGCACTTGGCAAGGTTCTTTTCACTTATTATTAATGCACTTTCCTTTAATTTGCAGGTTTATGTTGGTTCATGGCTTGTGATCATTGGGATATTGTTAGTGATGAAGGTAATAAATCTCTTATCTGTTCCCTACATTCCCCCTATGCATGTGCATGCGGGCACATGCAGGCATGTCTCAATATGATAGGCTTATGGCATACATTGTAAAGCATGATTGCAAAGATAACTGTAGTCACACCCTGGAGCATTACAGAAACTACCTTTGAACCTCCATCGGCATGTATGACACAAGACAGCACTTGGAATTATAGAACATAAAAATTATCAAATGAACGGAAGCTAGAAGATCCTCTAATGTGATTTGCTGTAGAATTATAGAGGTAGCAGCACTTTAAATTATATGGTGCTCAGGTTGACCTTATATGCATATGTTTCCAAATGCCCACCTGCACTTAGGACAACGAAATGCAGAAGCTGCTTGTCTGCATGAATGAGGGAGAGAGTAGGAGGGAATGAGCCTACCGTTATCTATAGGTTCGGCAGGCTTTGTCATCTTGTTTTGTTATCTATGTTAACAAGATTCATTGGTTTTGTTGTGCAGACTGTGTCAGTCGGACGGCGGAGGTTCAGTGCAGAGTTTCAGCTGATATTCAGACTGATAAAGTTCTTTATCTTCATGACCTTCCTCACCATCCTCATTACCCTAATACTCATCCCCCACATGACTTTCCAAGACATTTTCGTCTGCTTCCTTGCCTTCATGCCCAGTGGGTGGGGCTTACTCTTGGTATGCAAGAAACTGTTACACCTTCCATTACTGCACGCACATGTGCACATGCACGTGCACATCACACAAGCTCATGCACGAGCAATCTGGTACATTTTATAGAAATGTTAAACATTGATTAATACGTTCTTATCTAACAACCTAGGAAATATGACTGTTAATCAATCTGTTTTTCTTTCAACGAAGTGTATTTTGACAGTTGTTTTTTGAAGAATGTATTTTGACAATTGTTATGTAGTTGATTAGCTGCGGTACTCTCTTCTTTCAATCTAGTATTGTATGTTGCTGGTTATTGAGTAGCTCCACTCAGTATAATATGACAATTATTGAAACAGTTGATTTGCTTTTGTGCTCTCTCTCGATCTAGTACTGTACGGTATGGGTTGTTGAGCAGCTGATGAAATCTCTCTCTCTCTCTCTCTCTCTCACAGATTGCGCAAGCACTCAAGCCACTCGTGGTCAGAGCGGGGTTCTGGGGGTCAGTGCGCACGCTTGCTCGTGGATATGAGATTGTGATAGGTCTGCTCCTTTTCACTCCCATTGCCTTCCTCGCCTGGTTCCCATTTGTATCCGAGTTCCAAACCCGTATGCTCTTCAACCAAGCTTTCAGCAGAGGCTTGCAAATCTCTCGTATTCTTGGTGGTCAAAAGAAGGACCGTTCTTCTGACAACAAAGAGTGAAAAGAGTAGTTCTCTACCATGTAGTGGTAACCTGCTGGTGATTTATACGCCCCTAGTGTTTGCCGTGTTACAGTAATGGAACCCCCATTTCAGTCTGTCTCGTGTATATAGAAACGGTGTATTTCTATGTTCCATTTTGCTGGGGCTGAACAATGAGGGGGAGGGCATTTTCTTCATTCTTGTGCAATTACCTGACCTGGTAGAAGTTTCTTTTAATTTAAAATGTGATTAAACAATCTCTATTACTGTGTTAAATGTATCCATTGTATTTGGCTTATTGCTTGGTGGGATGACTTCTTGTGCCCCTTATAATTTTAAATGTGATTAAACAATTTTTATTACTCTGTTAAATGTATCTATTGTATTGGCGTATTGCTTGGTGGGATGACTTCTTGTGGCCCCCGTCTTTTCCCCAATAGTTTGAGTTGGACTCTGTTCTAACCAGGGTATGACCATTTTGTTGGTTTTATTTTGGTTTTGCGCTAGCTAGCTTTAATCTATCTTTCCTGTCGGTTCTCTCACGGGTAGATCCCATATTGAAACTGCTTTTGTGCCGTGCCCCTATTTCGTAGATGGCGATGTAAGCCCTATCCTATTCAAACTTCATGCGCAGATTTTGCCCTGCAAGACGGGCCGAAAAATGCCTCTGAAGACCTGAAATACGGAACTGGGAGAACTCCTGTGTTGACGTCTCTGAAGACCTGAATTAGGAACATGAGAACTTCTGTGTTGACGTTTGTTGTATATAGTTGAATTTTGTATCAGTTTTGAGGTGCTACTATATATGGAAAATTGTTTCATGCGGGCTGGACTGTATTTCTACAATATGCGGTTCAGAGGTATAAAACATCAATTTTAAAGATGGATGTAAATGGGTGGTCCATTTAAAAACAACTGTAACTAACGGTCCATATATTTTTTTAATATAATTATTATTTATAGTTTTTTTTTTTCATATTCATAGTCTCCATGTTAAATATTATATGTTCTCTAAAAATTAAAATCAAATTATATTTAAAAAATATATTTATTGTAAGCCCGTATTTCGTATTTCTACAATATGTGGGCTGGCTGCATAGAAACCGCGTCCATTGCACATTGCTAGGGCTTTCCCCATATATATTTATATAACTGATACAAACAATCTCTAGGATCAATTAAAGTTGGCTACTAATATGGATTAATATGCAATCAAATTTAAATCAATTAAAGTTGGCTATTAATATGGATTAATATGTAATCAAATTTAAATCAAGTTCACATTTATATCTCACTTGAATATATAGTTAAACACTTCCAATGTATATATTTTCAATCATATGATAAGCATAAACATGTATTTTCAACAAAAGTTAATCAAATCAATTTGGATATTCAATCTATTATCATCAATTTCATACGTTATTTTAGTAAAAAATCATATTAAGTTGAGTAAAATAAAGTATGGAACGAACTCACTAAAGTGCTCAAGATAGGACTTGTATAGAACAAGTACATCCACCTTTAAGAGCATCATAAACAACCCAAACTTTGTTGAAAATCTGGATTAAGAAGATATTAATAGTTTTGTAGCGAGAGAAAAACAATAAAACTGGAGCGAGATGGTTTCACAATAGATAATTTGGGTGTCCCTTGCAAGGCTATAGATACACACTTGGGTTGAAAGAGCCTCTAAATGCTGAGTGAAAGAGAGAGGGAACAATGATGTTGAGAGAAAATGAGAAGTGCATCATACCTAACTTCCCAAACCCTTCTTTAATGTATATGACTCCCTTGTTTCAACAGTTAGAAAGGGAAATAGTTGATGAGCCTTTGGAAACATGGAAAAATATGGGCCAAGTGAAAATTGAGTTATTTTGGTGATTAAATAAAAATAAATAAAATAGTTATCTTAATTTCAAAACTGCTCCTAAATGCATGAAAAAAACCCACGGTTAACATTCACACACTGTTTTCAACGTGGTTTTGACTTTAATAAAACATCCATCTATTGAAGCAAGGAGGTCAATCGTGGTCCCTTGAGCTGGACGATCGATTTATCGACACATACTAGCCACTCACTCTATGACATCAACCACACACTTTCCCACACTCATCATAGTCGTGACGCATTGTGTGATCATCAGCCACTTCATGAACTTTATGTCTGTCTCTAGATCTACATAATCTCTCTACTACGTATCCAGAAACAAATAGTAATGAAGACCCTCTACTGTTATGCCATACATGCACCCATCACATGTGGTGGCATTCCAACGGTGCAGAGAGTCCCCACAAAATCTCACAAAGAGATGCATCTCACTAAGAGATTCTCAATTGTCCGGATAACCACTAGCACATCACTTCCCTCTAATTGGGGATAGTAGCAAAACATGTGCAGATGCACGCCAGTTGGCGGTGGTTTGTGGCTACATCCCTCTGAGGGATTTTCATTACATAATAAACCACTAAAGGTCAAATGACCTAACCTTTCTACCATCGGAGGCTCAAACATATGCCACAAAGGCATCCATGCCACAACGGCGGGTAATATCATAAAGAAAAAAGTTTGTATACGGATGCAACCTTATACTGTGGAGCTACGGATGCCCCTAAAAAATCATAGAAAAGGTAGTTTTAATATTGAAATTTTTTTTGATTGATCATCTCGACATCAAGATGTATGACGAAGAAAAATAAAAAAAATTTAAGTCTCAGAAATAATGCATTTTACAACATATTATCTACACCGTCCATTTCCAATATTTTCATATGTTTATAGATCTACTTGATTTTGACCAGTTTTGAAATTTAAAATTTTATAATTAGATATAAACATAGATTTTGAGATAGTCCAAACAATATTTTACATCAAAATTATGTACCATAATCAAATTTGTAGGTGCACCGTACCTCTACACCTACAAATGCATCCGTATGCAAACTGCACCCTATCATAAAAGCTATAATCATCACAGTGCCGCATAGGCTACCCATGAAATCTCATAGTCACAAAGACTTATCAACTAGCTCATAAATGCTCTAACATGCCACTAAGGCATCAATTATGATAGTCTATAAATTCGTTTAAGTCCCATGGCAGCCACACTCCTTTCAAATGGGTCAATATTAATACCCTTTGTTGGATCAACAACCATCAATTGTGTAGGAAGATAGTTAACTTCTACCTCCTTATTTGCTACAAATTCTACAGAGTGATATTTCCTCTTAATATGCTTTGATTTTCCATGATACATTGGGTATTTTGAAATGGCTATTGCCGCTTGATTATCACAATATATAATTGTACGCTCATACCCATATTTGGCTAGTGTCATTTCACTAAGAAATTGCCTTAAGAAGATTCTCTTTTGAAGCATGATGCAATACAATATACTCTACTTCCATAATAGAGTGTGAGATACACTTTTGTTTCATACTACCCCATGAGACACATGTCCCACCCAAAGTAAATAACCATCTAGAAGTTGATCTATATTCATTAACATCACCTCCTAGATTAACATCGTTATATCCTTCAAGGATTAAATCCTTAGTACTATAATATAAGCCATAATCATGTGTCCATTTAAGATATCTAAATATTCTTTTAACTAGTTTCCAATGCTCAATAGCAGCATTATCATATGTCTACTAGCAACCCCAACTGCATAAGCTATATCAGGTCTAACACAATTTATCAAATAATTAAGTGACCATACAGCCTGTGCATAAGGACAATCCTACATGATTTCCTTCTCTTTATTAATCGTAGGACATATTCCTTTTGTTAATTTACAACTTTTATCAATTGGGGTAGCCATGGGTTTAGAATTCACCATTCTAAATTTTTTTAGTACTTTAAGATTATATTGCTCTTGGTAAAGATATAATAATTTTTTATTTCTGTTTCTAGAAACTTTAATTCTTAGAACCTAATTAACATGTCCCATATGTTTCATCTCAAATTTAGAAGACAACCACATCTTACCTTCCTCAATGACTTTTCAATCATTTTATGTTATGATTATATTATCGACATATAGAACCAAAATTAAATGAATACCCCCACTGTTCTTAGTGTATACACAATAATCTGTAATGATATTCTTAAATCCCTATTCTCTAAGTGTACGTGAGAATATCAAATGCTATTGTCTTGAGGATTGTTTTAAACCATATAATGATTTAATTAACTTGCATACTTTATTTTCTTGATCTTCACATTCAAAATCTTCAGGTTGAGATATATAAATTTCTTCTTCTAATTTTGCATTTAGAAAAGCAGTTTTAACATCTATTTGATTAATCTTAAAAGCATAATGATTAGCTATGGTTAATATTATTCTAATGGAAGGTTTCCTAGCTACAGGTGAAAAAAGTCTCTTTGTAGTCAATGCCTTCTTTTTTTATTAAACCATTTAGTCAACAATCTTGCTTTATATCTATTAACAATTCCATCATAATTAAGCTTATTTGAATATACCCATTTACAACCAATTGTTTTTCTATTTGTAAGTAACTTGCTAATAGCCATGTTTTATTATTTATTAAAGACTCATATTCAATCCTCATAGCTTCCATCCAACTCACTGCTTCAAATGAACTAATAGCATTCTTAAAATTACATGGTACTTCATTATAATATACATAATCATCTAAATAACTAAGTCTTTTAATCTCCCTAGTACTTCTTCTCGGCTCAAATGATCTAGTGTAATCAATTTGAGAAGAGCTTCCTACATTAAATTATGTTAGGATTTTGAGGTTCTTCTTTTTCCTCATTTTGTTTTACAATTTTAGCTTCTTTTACCTTTGATGTTTCAACATCATCAAAGAAGTAAGCATCTCTACGTTCAACAATTTTTTTAGATTCATTATTATAAAATCTATAACCCTTAGAGTCACTTGAGTATCCCACAAATATACACTTTATAGTTTTGGGTCTTAGCTTGTTCCTCTTATCACGGGGAATATGAACATGTGATATAGAGCCCCATACCTTGATGTGGTATAGGTTGGGTTTTCTATCAAACCATAATTCAAAAGGTGTTACATTAGTTGATTCGGAAGGCACTTTATTTAATATCTATGTTGCCGCTATGATAGCTTCCCCCCAAAATTGATATTCTAGACCGGCTTCTTGAATCGTAAAATTGGCCATATCTATTAAAGTTCTATTCTTTCTCTCGGCCATTCCATTTTGTTGAGGGATGTAAGGCAAAGAGGTTTGCCTAACTATTCCATTGTTATTACAAAACACACTAAATTCATTGAATCTATATTTTCCTCATTTATCACTTCTAAGAATCTTGATTTTCTATTTAATTGGTTTTTAACTTCTAATTTATATTTTTTAAATTTGTGTAGTG